ACAATTGTTTTTGGAGTGAGTGTCACCCATAACAAGTCCTTTAATCCGGAATTATGATTGTTCGATTCAGACCAATTGTAAATGTAATTATAGCAGATTTCATAAAAACGATCACATTTACTGTCAAAATCTCGTTTAGTTATGTGTCCTTCTTCTTCAATTGCTTCCAATAAGTTTTCAACTTCAGTTGTCAAAAATTTTTCTTCCCTTTTATTCTTAATTATATTTAATAAATTTTCAACAAGCATCATAATTTCAATAGCTGATAAATTTTGGCTCTCAATTTTCTTAATGTAACTAGTAATAGTCTTAAGTTGGCATGATACAAATTTGAACCACAAGAAAGAAGTTTCATTTTCAAAAAAACATTTCAGAACAGTTGGACATGTATTTTGGGACAAAAAATACGATTTTAACCCACTATATATCGATATAATTCTGTCTATAGCCGGATATAATGAAAGCCACCTAGTTTTGGAATGTGATAACAAATCATTATATTGTACATCTGCAAAATCACAGAACTCTTTTAGACTTTCTACACGAACAGTATATATATGAAAGTATCCATATATTTTATTTTGCAAACAACGCTTTCGACATCAATTGGGAGTGAATCTGCAGCTTGTTGTATAGCGTTATGAATTATGTGTGCAAAACATCCCATACCAAGTATATTACGATCTAATGATTTTTTCAATTTGATAAAAACGTTATTTTTACCCTGTCTAAGAATTCCTCCAAAATTTGTATTTGTATTGTCGGCAGAAAAACTGATGATTTTGTTTTTAAGATCAAAATTATTAATAACTTTTATAATATGATTATGTATTAATTCTGCAGTTTCTCCAGGTAAATTGGAAAATTCAAGAATTTTGTATCTTACGCCTGCAGTGGTCGAAAAATAACGAACAATTACAGGAACTAACTTAATAACTTTATGATTTGATGCGTCTACAAGAATTGAAACAAATTTAGCTTTTTCTAATTCGGTTTTCATTAACTCTACAGCATACGGTGCAATAACGTTTACTGCAATATCTCTAGTTTTTGTACGGGCAGCAGTAAATTTTTTTTCATCAAACATTTTTCTGATTAATTCAGAAGTACAAGTCATAGAGTTGAAACTTTGACTATGGACAATTGTATGGTAAACAAATGTAACTTCTTTAGACGCCAGTTTTAACGCATTTTCGTCTGCTTTTAATGGAGTAAATGTAGCATGTTTGCATGTTCTATGTTTTTTTGTTTTGAGATGATCATTTATGTCAGATCGCCCTCCATGGCTAACCGAAAACGAACTTGAACAAATTGTACAATAAACGTCATAGTCTTTATCTGCTTTAACTTTTTTAATAAAATTAAATTCACTTTGAAGTGTTTCGTTAAATTTACATAGACGTTTTGGAGCCATATCGCACTGTTTTCACGAAATACCGTACGGCAAACACAGACTATGGTCAACACTACGTCTCCAACTGATTAGTTCACTACAATTGACATAATATTAAATAAAAAAAGGTTGATCCGTTTAGCGATAACTAAACATATTATCGTGACGGTCGACGCAACTGAAATACGACGAACGTACGTCACAGAGTCGGGAAAATAATTTAAAAATAGATTTTGTCAATTATTCAACTTGTTATTTTGTAACTATACCTTTTATATTTGTTCATAATTATCTCAGATATTACTTGTTACTTTTTTTCATTAAATGTCTAATAAAAGACACTTATAATTAATTAAAGTCTCATTCCGGGACAATATGCTGTCCCGAAACACATTATCGGGACACCGGGACGTCATACTCAAAACCGGTACTGTCCCGGCCAAACCGGTACGTACGGCAACCCTAGACGTATCACGTGTTGAACAACTGTCATTGTGTGTACGTTATTTAGACAATAATTTAAATATTGAAAAAAATGAAATCAACAATTATGTATTGAAAGAAGACTTCTTACAATTTGTACCGGTAAATTCTACCACTTGTCAAAATTTGGCCACAGTAATCCTAGTTACGTTAAAAAATCTTGGTATAAAATGTGACTATTTACTTGGCCAAGGCTATGATGGCGCCGCAGCCATGAGTGGTAATTTTAAAGGAGTACAGTCTGTTATAAGAGAAGTACATCCCGCTGCACTTTATGTCCACTGTAGTGCACATTCGTTAAATTTAGCACTTGCTCATTCGTCAAACATTCACCATATTCGAAATTGTATAGGAATAATAAAATCAGTAAGAAATTTTATTAAAATATCGGCTAAACGAACTGAATTATTAAAAAATAAAATAAAAGAATTTCTTCCTGAAACTAAATGGACAAAATTAACTTCAATGTGTGAGACTAGGTGGGTTGAAAATCATGATGGTATGCTTAGATTTTCAGAAATATATAAACCTATTGTTGCAACATTAAAAGAACTACAATTATTTATTGACATTGAAACATCATCTAAAGCTTTACAGTTATATAGGTATGTAACAACTAGTAAATTTATAATAAGTATGATAACTGCGACCACACTTTTTTCTATAACTTTGCCATTATGTAAAATATTTCAGTCGGTGAAATGTGATTTAAGTGAAGCAGTAGATCATGTTGAAACTGTTTTAAGTGAAGTGAAAGATATGCGAACAAATATTAATGAAAATTTCAAAAAAATATTCAATAAATCAGAACAATTGTTCATATCCGTGAACGAGGAAGAATAAATAAAAATACCAAGATTAGTAAGTCGTTCAACAAATAGAATAAATTATGGATACCAAAATTCCTGAAGACTATTTTCGTATTGCAATTGCAATTGCATTCTATGATGATTTTATTAGTCAACTTAAAGAACGGTTTTCCCAACACAAGACGATTTTATCGTCTTTGTATTTATTAATACCAAAAATGTGTTTGAAATCTCCTATTTTAGAATCAGATTTTATAAATATTGATACATTACCTTCAGAACTAAAATTGTGGAAAAGAAAATGGATTGCTTTCAAAGATGTAGATCGTCCACATACAGCTGTAGAAGCGTTAAATTATTGTAATCCTGAACTTTTTCCAAATATTCATTGTTTATTAAAAGTACTAGCTACACTACCAGTCTCTGCAGCAACTTCTGAACGAACTTTTTCGACATTAAAACGCGTCAAGACATTTTTACGGAACTCTACGGGACAAGAAAGATTAACTGGACTAGCTCTATTAAGTGTCCATAGAGATGTTACAATTAATCCCGATGAAGTGTTAAATCAGTTTGCTCTTCAAAAAGATAGGAACATATTATTAGTTTAAAATAATATGATTTGTATTTGTACATTTTTTATTTCTTAATTTTATGTTTCATATTTATATATTGTAAGGTGACAAGATATCAAAGTAATTTTGTTTATTTGATTTTATTATATTTTAATAAAAGAAGATTAAATATTTGTCTGTCTTATTTTTAATCAAATATCAAAAATATAAATCTAAATTCAATAAAATTACAATATACATGTTTTGGACTCCCCTGAATAAAATTTCTAGATACGGCCTTGGTCTTTTTATTTATTATTATTAGTATTATATATTTAGTGTTATTTATTATATTCTCTCGATCTCTAGAGAAACTGTCCTTTATTTGCCTTCTCAATTCATTATTCTCTATTTCGACATATTTTGTTTTTAGGTTTAATTGTAATACTTATTAATTTAGAATTTCTGTTTATTCACTCAGAACATATTTTTTATTTTTTATCCTAAACTGCATCAGTTCAAATTTTTTTAAATTTTTTTAAGCTATTATTGTCTTGCATTGAAATTGATTGTAAAATGATCCCTTTAAACCTTTTAAAATATATCCACAAATATCTTTTTCACTCATGCGCTTATTTACCTGCCTACATAAACTTTCTATTTCAGCTAAGAAACTTGTGGTAGATTCATTTTCCCCTTGCCTACGTTTTTCTAGTTTGATTTGCAATATAGTGTCATGTCCTATGGGTTGAAATTAATTTAAAAAAATTTCCTCCAATTCTTTCCATACCAATTTCCTTTTTGGTCTTCAAGATTTTCTAAAAAGGTACTGGCTGTGCCTTTTACAAAAATTGAAAAGTATTTTAGTTTGTCGTTTTTATTACATTCATTAATGTCGCTAATCTTATTATATTGTTTAAAAATATTTCTAACGTCCTCAGTCCCGTTGAGTCACCATCGAGTTAGCCTTGTACCTGGGTCAGTGATGTTGAACAACCACACTAATGTTCGATGATCTGTCACTTTGTTGAACTTTTGTCCAAATAGATAGGGTCTGTACACCTTGATTCCCTAAACTATGTTGATGAGCACCTTTTCGGTAGTATTGTAATATACCTTAGCTTTATGCGAGATGCAAATGCTATCGAAAAATCTTTCTCGATAGGTCCTTGTGACAATACACACCCGATCACGTAGTCCACTTGCGTCACAAGTCAAATTGAATTATTTTGAGAAATCCGGATACTGCGGAATAGGAGCCTGTGTCAGAAGATCTTTGAGCTGTTCAAATGACTGCTGACACAGATCGCTCCATAAATATTTAATGTTCTTCTTTAGCAAAAAAATCAGTGGCTTAACGATTTGTCCATAGTTTCTTATAAATCTTCTATAATAATTGGATAACCCTAGGAAGGATTTCATCTCTTTTACGTTTCGTGGAATCGGGAATTGTTTAACGCAATTTATCTTCTGTGGGTCAGGCTTGACTCCTTCGTCTGTGATTTGGTGCCCAAGATAGTTGACTTATTTTCGGAGAAACTCGCACTTCAGTGGTTGAAGTTTGAAGTTGTATTGACGGAGTCTGTTTAAGATTTCTGTGATTTTCTGCGTGTGATCAATTAAATCATTTGCGTAGATGATAATGGTCGTCTAGATATACGAATGCTTTTATCTCGTTTATACCGACTAATACCTTATTCATCAGCCTCTGGAAGGTACCTGAGACTCCTCCTTTTAATCCAAATGGTAATTGTTCAAATTCGTAATGACCTCGATCTGTAGAAAAAGCAGTTTTCTCTCGGTCTGAGGGGTCCATAGGTACCTATATAGTGGTACCCATGTGCTAGATCCAAAGTACTATAGTACTTCGATCTCCCTAATTGGTCCAGAATGTCTACGATATTTGGGAGGGAAAAAGCATCTCCTATCGTGACTTCATTTAACCGGTGAAAATCCACATATACACGATATTTCATATGGCCATTGAAATCAGGTTTCTTCGAGACTACTAGAAGTGGAGCGTTCCAATGTAAACTACTGGGTGTAATCACACCTTTCCGTTCAGGGGCCTGTGATTTAATCTATTTCGAAAAGTCCGGAACGTGTGATAAAGTCTTAATTGTTTTATTAAATAACACAATGTTCACCCTAACCGTTCGGTACTACATGTTTGAATATATTAACTTAATCGGTATAAGCGTCACCTCGCCGTATAATATGTGTTGAAATAATATAATAAAACACGGTACGTAACAATATCGACTAATTGAAAAATAATAGCACTTGGAGAGTAAAATATGCTTTCAGTTTGGAATGGAATGATTCACAATCATTGGCTGTCAAAAATAAAATTTAAGTTGTCAACATAAATGTGACACGGCTTCGGCGGGTGTTGTTGAATAGCAAACAAACCGCGGACAGCCACTCACGTGTTAGGTTAAGTAGATCAAATGGATCTGATAGACGAAAATTTGAGAGTTTTAAGTATAAAACACGAAGAAAACGAGAGGCAAATAGCACGTTTAGGAAGAACAATAGGGGAACTAGTAAACTTAACTAACCACATTTTTCCTCAAATCAAAACTATCAAACAATTTACAGTAATTAATCAAGTAATGTTGATGCAAATTATGAGAATAAATACAAGAGAGATAATACAAAGTGCAAGGTCGGGACAGATACACCCGAGTCTAATAAGTACGAGAAATCTGTAAGAGCAATTTAAAAATATTAAATTAATTATACCTAGTGGGACGAATATGCTACTCGAGGTATTATAGATTAATGTTTACAATTTGGTTAAGCTAGCAGTTTTGACAGTATACTATAACAATAATAACATTTTTTTAATTTTAAATGTTCCATTTTTATATGAACATGAATTAAATTTGTATAAAATAATTCCACTTCCGTTTTCTATAACAGAGAACAAAAAAGAAATGTATGTATACGAGTATTAGACCTAAGCGTGATTTTTAGGCTAGTACAAAATCTCAGAAGCTCTATTCGACTTACGATAATTTTAATTCCATCATTTGTCAATCTATACACGAATTTTCGGGATGTCCCGAAACGCACACTTTACATTCAAGGAGTATGAGACCTATATGTGAAATACTCCTTATGCAGGAGTCGAGAAAGGTACCACATAATTGTGAGATTCGATACATCGAAATAGCAACATTGCAATAGTATTTTATAAATTAAAACTTAAAAACGAGTGGTCATATGTGATTAATAATGATTTTATATTCGTTACTTTTGATCGTCTATAACGAGTTGTAGCCGATGATATTTATGGAAAACCGACATTTTGTAATCAATACAATCACTTTATAAATAAATATTATATACCCACATATTTATTCATAAATAAATTTTATTTGTATTTTAAGTTTTCATTTTAGGTTTTTCGTTTTATTTGTATTACATAACAATAATATTATTTACTTTAGATTTTATGTACCGTAATTGAGACTAGACCAGACTGATAATAATGCTTTTTATCTGAAAAGTAGACCGAATTATTCCTAAAAAATATTAAACCAGACTATACCGACGATTCAATAGTTTTTGTATGTTAGGACCGGACTAGACCGGACCATATGTATTAGACTATGCTCTATATGGAGCAGTTGTGCTTAAAGTAATTTAAATACGAGTAAAATACAAATATTTCAAAAAAAAAATAATACTTTGTAAAAAACAGGTGCTCCCTAGTTTATACACAACAAAGCACTGCATAAAGACTTGGAAATCCCCACAATTTTCCGAACAAAAATTCCCCACAAATTGTTTCATTCCCTTATGTACTTACACGGGCTACTCACTACAAGCTTCGTCCTTCTAAACTGACAGTCAATAAACGCAAATAATTATTTGTATATACCATGAAACAATGCAAAGCTATTTCTCTACAAACTATTTAATATAGTTTTAACATATCAAGTGAAAAAGTAACTATGAAGTTAATATAAATAAATTAACCATTAAATATTGATAATAAATTGTTTAATTATATTAACATTTACAATAATTGAGGAATTACTTGAAAAACATATTACTTTAAATTAATTATTATAAGAATAAAATATTCAATTTATTTTTTCTACTATTTCATAAAAAAAAAAAAAAAAAAACAAATAATTATATTATATATTATGGAATTTAATTGAATATAAAATGTTATAGTTAAACGAAATTTAAGATTATAATATAGTATATAATGATCAATTAATTATTAAGGTAACTAAAGTAACTATAAAGTATTAATTTTATTTATCTGTTGAATTAGTCATAGATAAATCTTCAGAATCCAAATTATTCTGAAACAATGTAAAAGATTTATTATCATTTTAAATCGTTTAAATTTTAAGAAATCGTCTACTTATAGTTATTAATCTATCTTATCTTATATATATAATATATATAAATCTCGTGTCACAATGTTTGTCCTCAATGGACTCCTAAACCACTTAAC